ATTGTACATATATATACACATATATTGCACACACACACACACACACACACACACAGATTTCTCTCTCTCTCTGCTCTGTTCTCTGTCGCTGTCTCGTCTGTCTCTCTCTCTCTCCTCTCTCTCTCTCTCTCTCCGCTCTCTCTCTCTCTCTCTTCTCTCTCATATATATATATATATATATATATTAATAATATATGTATATATATATATATATTATAACAAATATATATATATATTATATATATAATTATACATATTATATATATATATATATATATAGATATTTTTTGTTTTTTTTTTTTTTTTTTTTTTTTTTTTTTGTTTTTTTTAACAGCCATTAATTCCCACAAGCGGACAAAGGCTTTCCCTCTCTCAATCACTATTGAGAGGTTATATGGCAGTGCACCTGCCTAATCGGCTGCCCTTCCTAAGCACCCGCGGTGGCACGGCGGGGACCTCCCCTACGACACCTGCGTCGACTTCCCAAGACGATATGTCAGGAGCGCAGGCATTTTAAGACCGCCGCCCCACGGGGAATTAACTCGGGACACAAGGGCCAGAGCCAGTGCTCTAAACCACTGGAGTATCGCGGCAGTAATTATATATATTATATATATATATATATATATGTACTATTATATATATATATAGATTACGATATATATATAAAATAATATATATATATATATATATAGATATATTTTTTTGTTTTTTTTTTTTTTTTTTTTTTTTTATGTTTAACGTCACGGAACTCCCTTTTTGATCAAGGGCTAGACGGGCCTGCCCCCTGAAGGACAGGCAGAGGATTTGGCAAGTGGAGGACTGTTGCCCCGAGTGATGCCCTTCTACCCTCGAGAACCGTGGGCCGGGATTCGAACGGCGGCAGGCAGTATATTATAATTATATATATATATATATAGTAGATATATAATAATATATATATATATGTGTGGTGTGTGTGTGTGTGTGTGCTTTGTGTGTGTGCTGTGTGGTGTGTGTGTGTGTGACTGGACACTGAACAGTGACTCTGAAAGCCCGTCTTAACTCCTTCGGTACTAAGTGTCTTCGCAGAATCAGGGGTATACCTGGAGGGACATGTGTCCAATCAGACGTACTCCATGAGACGATTCAAGACCTATTACCAGTCTGATACGAGAGCGCCAACTTCAGCTCTATGGTAATGTGGCTCGTTTCCTGAGGAAGATCCAGCTCATAGGGTCATCCTCGAGAGGGTTGACCCAGGTGCAGAAGCCCAAGGGGAAGGCCACGGACTCATGGCTAAGGCAAGTTCAATCAGAATCTGCCAGATGTACTGGGGAGTTGGGAAGAATGCTGCATGGAGGCTCGCTCGGAGGGACCCAAGAAGGTGGAGGCAAAGGTTGGGCGCGGTAAAGCGCCCCAGCCAGCGTTATGCCCCCTTATGATGATATTATATATATATATATATATATAGATATATCTATATATACTATATCTATATAATAATATATATATATATCTATAACATATACATATAATAATATACATATATATATATATATATATATATATATATATATATATATATAGTATATATGATTATATAATATAATGTATATATACGTATTATTTATTTATATATATATATATATAAATCGTGATCTATTATCTATCTATCTATCTATATACATACATACACACACCATATAATACATACATACATTTATATATACATATATATGATATGTATATAGATATAGATATATATATATATATCTACTATATATATATATATTAGATCTATATATATATATATATATATGTTGTGTGTGTGGTGTGTGTGTGTGTGTGTGTGTGTGGATGTGTGTGTGTGTGTGGTGTATGTATATATTATATATATATATGTACATATGTATATATGTATTAT